AACGCTTCGGCCAATTGTGCCGAAGATATCTGATCCCAAACTTGTATTGTCTCTGCGTTTCGTTTGTCAAACTCTTTGCGTACTTTTTGGTGGTTTATAATAAACGCTTTGTGAGGGTTTGACAGACATTTCAATTGATTGAATCCATGGTTTGGGACATTCATTACCGCAGTTTTGGACCAAACTTTACACCGTTTGGCCATCGCTTGGCCAACACTTCTGCCCAACAAATATGTCTTCAATATCTTCATTGCAATGGCTTTTATGTCTTAATTTAATTCATTATTATATTATAAATTTGATTCATTCATAAAATGTATGATTAAATTCAATATAAAACAAATTCAAACAAATTATACATTGATTTAGAAAATCATAACAAATGATATCATATGTAAGTCACGTGTCTTTCTGTCGTCCAATCGTTTGATGCAATTCTTGGCTACAATTCATTACTTTACGTGAAATGTGAAGTTTCATTAAGTTTTAAAGACATGAATAATATGATATAATTATATTATTAATATCTTTAAAACTTAATAGGATTCAAACCTGTAACCACTTATTGGATAATATATCACAGATATATAGAGTCTGTATTATAGACTATATCTATAGGACTCACAAATAGTAATCATCCCTAAAATCTGATCCACTCTTATATTATACTCTATTAGAATTGTATTCATAAACCAATTCAATAATCAAATACATTGAGAATAAAGCCATGGATTAGACATTTGGTTATATGTTATAATAAAACATTATAAAGATTGAGTTTGAATGTGGAAATCGCGAAAATGTGAACATTCAAAAAGTTTTATTCTCAAAATTAAGTGATTCTTATTTGTGGCATAACTTTTTGTGATTGACGTCATAATTAGAAAATTGCTGCCGAATTGTATTCCTCTCATGTGTTAAACTATTAGATGATTGCAAACCACCCAATGGTATAACATGTATACAACCCTCAGGTCAATCAACCCATAGGACACGTGTACTCATGACATTATTGGTACAGTGAATGCATGTATCAGTTTGTATTGAACGCTCTGAAAGATATTCCGTATATTCATTGAATCCAAAAGTGCCTAATAGTGTCCCGAACAGCATCTGATGGCAGGCGGAGGCGGACATTGGAAAGAATACGTGATCGCACCCGAAACAGTCACCCGTCCCGTTGTCGGCGATTACAAGAGTCACACATTCGTAAAGGCGGAACACATTGGAGGCGTTGGAGGTCTCGCGGAAGGCAAACCTATGTTAGAAGCGTTGTGGCAGAACATACGGCAGAGCACTCTCGACGGACAGGTGGGTTATTACGCGGCCATATCTGACGACCGAGAGGTGGTTGCCGTCCACTACACCAATAAAGATGATAAAGATGTCATCGCAAACACTTTCACAGGCTTTGGAATTTTACAAGAGTTTGTGATTCACCGCATTGACGAGTATCGCTTCAGACAGCAAGACTATAACGCGTCGGCCGCCGCACTCTTGTTTGCAAACTAATGGTCACAACTGGTGACTAATTTTCAAAATGTTTGCAAACATTTCTTATTTTTTTGTATTGAATTCCAAATTTTTAATTCCAATCATTTCTAATCAATAAAAATTTCATAAAATGTAAATGAATTTATAATTTTATTACTATATCACCACTTATTGGGTAATATATGGCAGATATAGTGCTCAGCAATATTAATGGTCACTAAAAACAGATCCAATCTTGGATCAACTCTATTAAAATTGTTTCAAATTCTTGTATTCATAAACCAATTCAGTAATCAATAAATACATTGAGAATAAAGTCATGGATTAGACATTTCAATAGATCTCATAATAAAATTAGTTTTATTTTTAATACAGAATTAAATTGCAATTAAATATAGAAAGGAATAAGAGATCCAATGGATGGTCAAAAAGTTTATCCATTGATGCACTCATCCAATGAAGTTAATGACCACCAAATGGAGGACGACGTGAGCGAAGATGAAGTCCGCAAAAGCCCTCTCTTGACTCAGTTCTCGGAACTCGTATTTGTTCTGCGGATTCGTCTGAAGGCGAAGACAAACGCCCAAAACGAATGACGCGACCGTTGAGATGAAACCGGAGAGGAATGAGTTGAATGGAAAGGTGCCCACAAGACAGCAGTACAGGAACTGAATCACTCCCGTCAACAGTATGTACAGCAGGTATGCGTCGATTATCTTCAGCCGATTCGATGTCTTCGCCGAATACTCTTCGTAGAAACGGAACATCACTTCCAATACATTCGCCATCTTTTCGCCCAAAAGACAAAACAGTCGTTGCATTCAATGTTTACTTCAAGAAAGCATTCAATCATTCAATTGATCAGTTGAATGCAGAACACACACAGAAGATTCGCTACGAAACCTAGTCATTTACCACAGTTTACCCTCTGTTAGCTACGTTTGCTACCGTTGGTGAGTTCTCCACTGCACTGAAGTTTTACACAAGTGAATTTGCCGGGATTTGTGTTCAATGTTTGCTTATTTTTATGCCAGTATTCCTGAAAATATGGAAACTTTATTACATTTGTGCACAAAATCTGTACAATATTTCCGGGAATTCCCTTAAAAAAATTTTGCGTAACGTTTTGTAAATATAGAAACGATTTGTACATAAATGACGTGAAATAATATTTTCTTCGATTAAATTGCAAAAGCAATAAAATCACAGAATATTCTTGAGTTTTAATTTAATAAAAACACGATTAAAAACTTTCCTAAAATTAATTTACAATTTATTACACAATTATAATAAATACAACATTTGGATAAATAATACAAAATAAATAAAACAGTGTTTTTCATGAGACATAACAACTTTTTGTACAATTAATCGCATTTCTCAGTGAGTATGAGATAAAGCAATTGGTTTTGGTGTCCGTCGAGTCTCGGGAACAATCAACTTACGTCTTGTGTGTGTCTTCTAAGCGATGCTTTGGATCAGTAAATGGTGTCAAATGGGAGACAATCGATGCAAACGATGGCAACCACTCAAGAGGTGACGTGACTTCAAAATGTGTTCACTGTTTGCCGGGACTTGTGTTCAATGTTTCCCTATTTTTATGCCAATATTCCTGAAAATATGGAAACTTTATTACATTTGTGCACAAAATCTATGCAATATTTCCGGGAATTCCCTTAAAAATTTCTTTTGCATAACGTTTAGTAAATATATAAACCATTTGTACATAAATGACGTGAAATAATATTTTCTTCGTTTAAATTGCAAAACCAAAGAAATCACAGAATATTCTTGAGTTTGAATTTAACAAAAACACGATTAAAAACATTCCTAAAATTAATTTACAATTTATTACACAATTATAATAAATACAACATTTGGACAAATAATACAAAATAAATAAAACAGTGTTTTTCATGAGACATAACAACTTTTTGTACAATTAATCGCATTTCTCAGTGAGTATGAGATAAAGCAATTGGTTTTGGTGTCCGTCGAGTCTCGGGAACAGTTGTGCGGCGATCGAGTCGGACATCTGGCTCTGGTCTTCGGACTTGGTTTGAGTCCAGATTAGTAGCGACTCTAACATAATGTTTACGTCCATTAACTCATCGTTTTGTGGATTGCATTCAATGATCGGTAAATTGAATTCATATTTATTCGCGTCATTTAGATATAGTTTGAGTAGAAATAGTGTCACGAAATCGGATTCAATCATTAGATTGGTGTCCACTTTGGCGAACAGTTCCAACGCCTTCTCCCATTCGGCGCAACACAGATAGCAATCGATGGCCTCTTTGCGGAGGTCGGCCTCGAGGAAGGCATGGCTGGCCTCCAGGAATCGGTCGTGTCTTCGATACATATTCGCCAATTCGGCGCAAATCGACGTCTGAATGGATTTGTCGGCCACTCTTAGGGCGTGTCTGTAGGCACTGATCGCACCGTTCAGTTCGTGTCCGTCGCGAAGAAGTCGCGCCGAATCGAGCAGTGCTTGTGTTTCGGCCGCAGAGTTGGCCATCGAGTGCTCACATCGCGCGACAGCCAAACAACAGTAACCCGAATATGACTTGTATTCCTCCAGATCTCGAGACAAACTCAACAACTGTTCGCTCACTTCACACACATTCGGCTTCCGAAGAAGGAATCGCTTCTTCAGTTTATTGCTTATTATCTTATAACTGGAAAAGTCTGCCATCGCTTACGCTTCCGTCACTTGAATTGATCCAAACATACAAACAATCACTCAATCGTTGAAATGCCAGACAATGACAACAATATTCATAAAATTACTGATTATTTCATTCAATGCTGTTTTAGCTCTCATTTGAATGCAATGTTTTTCACAATTGATTCCCACCTTATTATGAGTTGTAATGCTTACTCTACTGCAGAACATTAGATATTAAACGCAATGCATTATACAGTTATACAGAGAAGTCACCCGTAATACAAAAGGGGAGTCAATGTTAATGATTGTACGACAGTATAAATATATGGCATGTGATGTGTATATAGTGTTGGATTGAAATACAGGACATAATTGCTGTGCATTTGATGTGAGAATCGATTTGAAAGCGAATGAGAAATGCATTGCAATTGTGTTGACATTTGAAGCGAAAGACCGATTGTTTTGCTGTGAAATCCATTACCAAATCCATTGAACGGCCATTTCTGGTGTCCATACCATCGGTTCCGCGCATTGAAACACATCCCAAGACATAATCATCGCAAGTGATGTCCAACTCGAAGGTGTATTCGTTTGAGAACCAGTTCTCACTGGAGAACTGTGTGGGAAGGGTTGCCATCGCTCTGATCGCACATCCGTTTGATTTGGTGAAGATATTGATCCAATTGGGTTACGAACCGCTGCCGCCGTACCCGACGAAGACACTGTTCGGCAGACACCGGTTGGCACTTCCGGGCGCTTTCCGCTACTTGGGTCACATCCGGCGCACTGACGGTCTGTTCGGTATATACCGCGGCATTGGGTATAAAGTGAGCTCCGTTTTGGTCAATGGCTTTGTGTACGTGAATGTCAACGAATACATCAAACACTTGTATCCAGAGGTGACCGCCGATGACAGCGAGGCCGACGACGAGAGCGCTGGCGAACCCAATGGCGAGCCCAACGCCGACGCGTCTCCACTCAATCTGCAAAAGTATCGCAAAATATTGAGATATCTGTCCCGCGAGACGGCCGCCCGTTTCGCCGCACTCGTGGTCTCGTATCCGTTGCAAGTGATGACAGTCAGGGTTTGCGCCCAATTCGTTGGCCGCGAAACGCCCTACGATTCGCTGTTTGGCGGCGTCCGCGACCTCTACCAGACGGCCGGCATTTCTGGCTTTTACGCCGGTTTTGTGCCCCGATTTCTGGGCGATGTACTCATCTTATGGATCGGCACTAATGTCATATTCGTGGCCAACGGTTACGTCGACGGCGACTCCGCCATCAAGAGCTATGTCTCGGCTTCGGTCAACTTCATTGTCTCATCGCTTCTCTATCCGTTCCAATTGGTCTCAACAGTGATGTGCTGTAACGGACATTCTGGTCGATCGTTGGCCGCGTCGGCCTATACGGGACCCGAGTATAGCAATTGGATCGACTGTTGGAGACATTTGTCGCAATTGGGAGAACTGAAGAGAGGCTCCTCATTGTTATGGCGTTACCAGACGAGTGTCATGAATGCGCCACTCATTCACAGCACATCCAGAAGTGACAGTAAATACCGACTCAAAGAGTGGTGAACAGAAGCCTCGCATACTTTTCCCATATATTTTACTTAGAATTCAGTTCAGAAAACAAATGCTTTTAATTCAGATAAATATTAAAAAACTAATTATCGGTCATATGTTTAATGTTTTCCTTTTTAATGATTTAAACGCTATATTAAAGTAAAATTCCACCAGAATTTCAGATGTGAATGAAATATATTGTAATTTTAATAATAAATTTGTTCATTCATTGAATTTATTTTTAAGTAATAAATAAATAGTTTCAATCAAAAATGCGTTAAAAATGTGAAGTTCATTATTATGGAGTCATAATCAGGATAATTGTTATCTAACAGAAATACAGTATTTATCACTACCTTTGAATGTATGCCTATAAAGGGAAGGGTATTTGAGTACTTCCTTTAATTATTACTATTTTAAATTGAGTTTACAATGACTTGAATAACAGATGTATTGTTATTTAGAGTAATATTTAGTAACATTGATCAAAAACTATGTAACGTAAAGTATAATAAGTTGCAAAGAACTAGAGTTAGAGCATTAGAGGCCTGTCTATGGACTCTGTTATAGCAGATTGTCGAGTGATTTATTGACGCCTAGCATCACAAATATTCAAACACATTGACTACTATACGAATTACTTGTATTACTGTATAGAATCTATACTATAGATTATGAAAATATTTTAATTACAAAACTATATCTCATAATAAATTTTTTTGCTTTAAGTGTAGACAAATAGAAACTCGGAATCTAATATGATTTGGAAAATTTGAAAATTCAACCCAGCTTATTTGTTGACCTATCATTTACTAAAACCGTGCAGTTTTTCTGTATATAAGGATTTAATACATTATTCATGAATCATGATATAACAATTAATAAAAATAATTAAAAAGTAGTTTGCCCATTGTTAATGCATATATGGTCCAAAATGGTAAAAAATTGTAAATTTAAAAAACAGATATCGTGGTAACTTATATTTTAACCACAATTAATTTAAGAAAAATTTGGTTTATAGATTTGCTATGTCCCCTTTTCCACCCTACGGGAATTTAACATGGGTTTACAGCTTAATCCTATGACTATATTTTAATACAGAATTTTCCCCATAGGTTAACAGCAATGATGTTAAATTTAACATAGATAATGCTGCGTCTGTTGTAATGCTAATTCTATTGGTAATGTTAAGTCTGTTAATAATGCTTTTCTTAAGGAATAAGTATACAAATAACTGATAATATAGCATTAATAACAAATAAAATTATTATAAAATAGAGAGAATAGCAACAATAAGATTGGAAAATTTTTAAAATAAAAACGATAAGACTAAAATAGTAATTAAAATTTTTGAAAAATGACATTCTCATAATAAAATATTTAAAACTAAAGAAATTTTTCAATTGAATTTTTAAACAACTATTTAAACACCTTCTATTCTTTGAGCATAACCCGAATTGTGGTTAACGCGTAGCATTGCCTTTGCAAGTCTTGTTTATTTCTAATAAAATATTGTTTTTATAATATTGAATATAAGTCAACATTTTGCTGTACGTTATATTCGAGTATAACTGTAAGAAGATTTTTTATTTTTTATTACACCTATAATTTGCCGAATTAAGCGATACGTGAGATAAGTTTTACTATAATATAATCATGTATTATGATTGAGAAAAATGTTCAATTGATTAATACAGGGAACAAAGGGCGCGGTTTTGCATCAATTGATCTGATTATGCGATCAATTATATGAAGTGAAAGGAAGTCAATGCCAACCAAACAATCAATAATAATAATACCATTTAGTAGTTTTAAGAGATATACAGTTATCAAAATTGAACCAGTGTATAAGGCATGAGTAGTACCCCTGCTGGAAAATGGTCCCTCGGTATTCAAATAGTACTTTTTTTGTATAATACTTTACATTAATATTAGACACTAAACACTATTATTTGAATACCGAGGGACCATTTTCCAGCAGGGGTACTACTCATGCCTTATACACTGAATTGAACATAACTTGTTTGTAGCACTCATTTAATGGTTATTTTTGCAATTTTCGTACAGAATATTCAGTACCAGAATAATCATAGAATTATGAATACTGTATATTTAATTCTTCAACATTACTTTATTATATTGTTAGATATAATTTTATCATATAACATAAAGTTCGCAATTTATTTGAACAATTGTCGGGAGTTTCTATAAATCTGCCAAGATCAGAAAAATAAAACATAATTTGAGTTAATTATGACATATAAAAAACCAATTGAATGTAATTATATTTGAGAATTCCCGAAAAATAGCAATTCTAATAATAGTTATTACTACTACTGAATCACTATTGTAATTATGTTTCAATAAAATTTCATTTGTTTAAAAATTTATTAATATAGATTTGTCGCAATATTAATTGGCATTCTAATTTATGTAATAATTTAAGCAAGTTGAGTTGCATGAATCTACATGTATATGCTAAAAAGTTATTTTAAGTTATTATAATGAAGATAGAATTAAAACAGGATTATTCCAAAAGTCTTCTAAAGGAATACAGGAATGCCGTAAATATACTGAATGTTCATCAACTTTAACGCGCTTTTCATTTTTAAACTAAAGGTGTTTTACCAAAGAATCATCTAATCTTACCACTCACATTTTATTGAAATAATATTGCACTAATATTTAGAATATAAAACATAGAATTATAGTAATATAGAATATTCTAATAAGAGTTTTATTTGTTATATAAAATTAGTATATAATTTATACAATGTTTGTAATATTCTGTGCAAAACATACTTTGTTTGTAAAGAATATGTGAACAAAATTCATAAGCATTTGACGTAATTCTGTGTATAAATGGATATCCAGTGATTGCCTCCAAATTTAAAAGACATTTTCAAAGACACAGAAAATGCTTGCAATGAAAGCAAGTATTGAATCATTTTGAACGATGTAAAGTGGATTTGAAAATCACAGCCCCTTTGACTCGTATTTCTAATATTTTATTATTTTTATTGGAAATTAATTTGAGAATTGAGTTAATGTGGAAAAATATCTATCTATAAAAATAGTTAATAATTGCCATACAATGTGTTGAGAGAATCATATATCCATTCATTTCCTTAATTTCATTCATTCCTTTCACTTCTATTGATTGAAAATTAATTATTGTATTAAATCATAAAACTATTAAATATATCCTCAGTTTGTCTAAAAGCTTGTATTAGTTAAATAGATAACCAAGTTTTTTATAATACCTTAAAATGAAATATTTACTATTGATCTTAATTGTGCCCATAATTGGGATCAGTTGTAGCGGTGATGAGGACATAGAGAAGTGCATTACAACCGATTTCCATAAGAAAAGGCCTTCAAAAGAAGATGTTCTCCACAAACAGGTAATCATACACTTAAATATTTGAATCGTTAAAATTCATATCTAATGGTTGGCCATACAGTGCGAGCCCTGGAAAGACTATTCCTGCTGTACAAACAGGCGGACAATTTCGTCCCATCAATCGATAAATCACTACAAATTCAATCTCAATCACTGTCCGACTCAACCGATGAGTGATAAATGTCGGAAACACTTCACTCAGGACTTGTGTTTCTACGAATGCGAGCCATTCGTGAAGCCATGGGTTGTAAAAGTAAACCGATCTTTCGCTGAAGAAAGGATATATAAAGTTCCCATTTGTGCGTCCGATTGCGACCAGTGGTGGGAGGATTGCAAAGACGACTACACGTGTACTAACAATTGGGCCCGAAATTTCAAGTGGACGAACGGATCCAACGTCTGTC